GTGTGTGTGTGTGTGCCTCTGTGTGTGTGTGTGTGTGTGTGTGTGAGATAGGGTCTTGCCCAAACTTGCCTTGAACTCAGCAATTCTCCTTGCCTCAGTCTCCCAAGTGTACCACCACATGTAGCTTTCTGTGTTCCCTAAATGATAGTGATATTGACCAGAATTATTAAAAAAAAAACTAAAAGCCATTATTCTGAAATATTCATCTATAGTACAAAAGCAAATAAAACCTAATTTTCCCTTGTTTATTTGGAAGTCTTAAGAACTGAATTATTTCCAGTAAATAAATTTTCGTGGAAGCTTATTCATGTAACCACCATGACATTTTGCATTTTAATGGTTTTCATGTAATTCTTCTGCATAGCATTCATGCAAAGAATGCATTGAAAACACTACAGACCATTTGCTAGGCTTTGGGTCCTTGTCATTAGTATGTTGTTGTTATTGTTTGGCTTTTTAGCACTTCCAAATGATCTGAATGCCACTTGTCATCTAAGGACTCAGACAGCTAGAATCTTACGTGGATCTTTTAAGTTTTCTCATTGCCAGGGTGTATCACTTACTTTTGACTACAGAAATGTGCACTGTTGCTTTCCTCAAGCACAAAATATCTTTCATTATACATATCCAGTAGTTTATTGATATATAAATCCTGTGCCCTGGGAGACTGGAGACCCAAGTCAGTTACTGTTTCTTATAAGGAAGATTAATAGACATTGAATAAAGTCATGCACTTAGTGGCAGGTATTTTAACCATTTAGGGACTTCAACAACTAACTTTTGGTTGTAAGCTGTTCTCAAAGTAGGAAAATACTTTTTAATTTAAAAACTATGATGCCTCTGATTTTTCATTCTTGCATTGATTGGTGCCTTCTTGCTGCTCCATAATTAAGTATAGAAAATAAATTAAAAACAGACAGTTTTTGGGCTTGGTGGCACAGGCCTGTAATCCCAGATAATTGGGAGACTGAGGCAGGAGGATCTGAAATTCAAGGCCCCCTGGTCGCAGACTGAGATCAAGGCTAGTTTGGGTAAATTAATGAAAACTTATCTCAAAATATAATAATAATAATAATACTAGGAGTAGGAATATAGCTAAAGTGTTTGCCTAATATGTATGAGGCCTAGGTTCAATCCCCAGTACTGAAAAAGAAAGAAAAACATTGAAAACAGTCATCAATAATCATTGTCCTCTGAGATACAGCAGAAGTTTTGTAAAATGTAATTTGAAAATGTTTAATAGAGAAATAAAATATTCTTGCATGCCCTTCTGTAAGTGTTTCTCTATTTTGTTTACAGAGACATACTGATGAGCATAACTCTTGGGAAGCTCATAGAACAGGAGTTTATAACCATTGCACGTCACTATCAGGTGCCGGAGATTGTGGAACCAGATATTGCTTACTTAATTCCACGGGTCCATGAAAAGTTCAAGAAAAATATGTTTGAGAATTTTGACATAATTGTTTTTAACTGTATGTATGAAGACAGAGAAAAGTAAGCTTTGTTTTATTGATTCTAATAAATCATTTAAGTTTATATGAACCTAAGTAATGAATGAATGTATGTATTTTCAAATGGGCAAAAAGGAAATTGTCATGCCTTTTCATACTCAACATTTTTAGCAAAGTGACCTTAAATCCTAGGGGAGAAGAGAAGTTTAGGGAAGGTCCTTAATCTTTAAATGAATAGGCTGCTCTCTTGAATTTTCAGGGTTTTTTTAAATGCCTTTGACTGAAATATATAGTAAGTGAAGATGTTCCAGGGTTAAATGGTAATATGTCATCTGACATTACTTTAGTACTAATTAGGACTTATAAATTGTGACTTTCACATTATACAGATCAAAGACCTTCAAAGAAACTTTCTACAGAATTTCTCTGAAATTATCTCTTTTAAAGATAATGAATGACCTGTTTCTAGTACATTACTCATCTGTGTTCATTTTCATTTGATCATTTTTAAGAACCCTTTTAAGATTTGCTTATTTTTAATTTTTATGTATGTATGTTGGTATGTGCACATGGATACATGAGCACAGAGCCTATAGGGGGTCAGAAGAAGAAGACATTGGATCCCTTGTAGCTGGTGTTACAGGTGGTTGTGGATGCTGGAAAACAAACTTGGGTCCTCTGGAAAAATAACAAAACCTCTTAATTACTGAACCATCTCTCCAGTCTCAGATTGGTTTATATGCAGCTTGATACAGTGATCCTGATGTGTGTTTGGACTCATTTTACCTGCACAGCTGATAAAGTGGGCAGGGGGATATGAATTTATTGTTTTTTTTTCTGGATTTAGGAATCTAGCTTTTAGCTAGTACAAGTTGTAAGTAACCTTAGTAAGTAAATATGTAGGTAAGCTTAATGCTAGTAAAGTTTAAAACCTTAGTACTGTGTGTCACTGTCACTTCTCTTTCCTAGGACTCCTTTGTTTACCCTCAGAATTAAAATCTATACTAAGCGGTCAGGTGCATGTCCTAAGCATATTTGATAGTCCCATGGCATTTTTAAAATGAATTTGGTTTTCCCCTTAATCCATAATGCATTTTTGTTATGAAATTTGTTTGTATCTTTAAAGCCTCCTTGAGCCTTCTGGAGGATGTGTGGAGTGAGCTTTGCATAAACTTGACTGTGCTTTCCACTATGGTAGCCCAACTTCCCCAGGGTGACAAGCATGACCCTCCTTCACTAAATCAGCACTTACTGGGAATTTTAGGACTGCTTGATGACACAGCTTGAGTGTACCTAGATCCAACAAGCTTTGATTGTAGACATCAACATTCTCATTGCAAAGGAAGAACCCACTTTTATTCCTTTGGGTTCTAATTTTGTGTGTGCCTGAAAGAACACTGCTTGAGAGCATTGATTTGCCTCTGACAAAACTGAAGTGAATGCTAAGGCCTCAGTTGGAGTTGGGTCCAAGGAAAAGTCCAGAAAAATACCCCCAAGTCATATTATACTTGTGTTGGAGGTTCTAAATGCCTGTCAAATTAGGAGATGTTTTCAAATATCAGAACCATTTTTGACTGGTGATCAAGAATGCAGATCAATTACTTAGAGCAACACTCGTGGCTACAGCCTTAATAGGCTACACTATCACCAACCACGAATCTGAATCTGAATCTTAAAAGGCCTTCCTACGGACAGAATCTGGTGACCCTTGAAGTGGAAAAAGTTGGTGAAATGCAATATGACTGTTTTTCCTTATGGTAGATTCCAATGCCAGTTTTCATACTTCCATTTTAGGACATAGAATGCTTATGTTTTGTTTCCTATATCATGCAATTGTTAACAAGACACACAGTACATAAAAACCCATTTCTTCTGTTTTAATACAGAAAAGGTGTATTACCCACTAAGGACATCAAAAGGATGTGCAAGGCCTCCAGGTTACCATTGAGTGATGATCTTCTAGGAACCTTACTGTCCAAGTAAGTAAGAGATTCCCTCCCTTGATGCAGGTTGTTCTGTATACTTTTGTTTAGGAGATGATACCTGCTTTCCCATCTATCTTTAATTATCCTCTATTTACCCTTGACTGTTTTGATCATATCATTAATAACCTACTTCCTTTTAAGTATTATAAAGGGAAAACTTAGTCATAATTTTTAATCTTAGAATGCCTATTATAAATTATTATTTCAGCTTCTACTGGTCTCTGGAGTTTCAGATCTGTCTTCAAATATAGCATCTTCTAAGAGCAAAGATGTCCATGTGCTACTCTTTACAAACCTGTGATATTTCTTTGTTCTGTAAAGAAAGATCAACTCCTTGGCTTTGAATTCTTCCTTCTCTGTTCTTGGTTCAAGGTTTTTTGTTGGAGTATTGTTTTCAACAGGACGGGAGTGAGGAATCTTCATATGAAGCAGAAGGAGAAAGTAAAGGAAAAGATAAAAATAAAATTCCTAAAGCCAGGCATGGCGGCGCATGCCTTTAATCCCAGCACTCGGGAGGCAGAGGCAGGCGGATCTCTGTGAGTTCAAGGCCAGCCTGGTCTGCATAGTGAGTTCCAGGACAGCTGGGGCTACAGGGAGACCCTGTCTCAAAAAAGACCAAAAAATAAATAAATAAATAAATAAATAAAATTCCTGTGTAGGGGAAGTAGGGTCTAAAGTGTCAGGAGAAGGATCCCAGTGGAGGCAAATCTAGTTGGATGTGGATATGCAGTAAATTGACCTGGATGAATTCTCTAGAGAACCATCGCCATTTATTTTTTTGTTTTGTTTTAGCTTGTTTGTTTTAGGTCTGTTTGCTTGTATTTTCTAGTAGCAGTGTGGAGGGTAAGTGGGTCATCCTGGTGTAAAATATTTGAGATAAAGTAAGCAGCCCTTGGATTCTCTATAGTCACTACATTCCCAAGGCATTTCCTTTCTCTTCCCCATAACCCAGAGAAATGGATCATCTGACATTTCCCATGTATATCCCCTGCCTTCTTGCTCTTTTGTTTTTCTCCAGCCATTTCTTTAGTAGGAAATGGCTTCCAATTTTCTTCATTTACTGAAAGCTAGCTCTTCAAGAACCCTTTCAAACAGTGCTGTGTCCATGAAGTTTTCTCATGTTTCCTCACTGATGGTTGGAGTGATTTTTTTTCCTAAGGATTCTCACAATGCTATGTTTCTGTTTTTGTCCCTTACCTGGTAATGAAGAGTTGTGACTTGACTTTTGGTCCATCCACATGCGGACACCTACGCCAAATGTGTTTGATTTACCACCTGTGAATAAGCAACAAGCTGTCACATCTTGACAATTTGGGCATTCTCCCCTTGTCTCTTGTGTTCTTTGAATCTGCTTACCTGTACACCTACTACAGTCTTCTATAAGAGTTTTGACCTGGGGCTGGAGAGATGGCTCAGCGGTTAAGAACACTGGTTGTTCTTGCAGGAGACCCTGGTTCAAATCCCAGCACCCACATGGCAGCTAACAACTGTCCGTAACTCCAGTTCTAGGGGATCCGACAGCCTCTTCTGTCCTCCGCGGGCATTGCATGACATGGGTGCACTTACCTACACACAGGCAATACACACACATAAAATAAAAATAATAAATAAAATATTTTTTTTGAAAAGACTTTTGACCTATCTGAAGCTCAGATTCCGTCCTGCAAAGAAGGGATGATCTAATTTGCTTCCTAGTACTTACTTCCTGTGGGTTCTGAGGATTCATTGAGATAACATACAGAAATACCTGGCACAGCACCTGATGCTAACTATTGACTGAGGACTAGGAGAGAAGTTGAGTCAGAGGCCGTAGTCCACCCAGTGCAACTCAGACCTGAACTGGAAGAAACCTGCATCCTTTGTGAAGGGAGCCTTGTTTCCTGTCTGTTGGATTTGGATGCTTTTCACACATTAAGCTGTCCTCTGGTCAGGAAGCTGCACATCTTTATTAGATTATCTCTTGATGGGCTTGAGGATAAGTTGTCCTGGAAAGTCCAATGATGTGGGAGCCTGGCCTCGGGAGGACCCACAGTTCTTTACAGTGCTGAGGCCACCAAGTCATTATGGTCCCATTCCCTCAGCAGACTGTTTTGTCTTTGGCTTTATGCTTTGACATGAAAAACAAAAAGTCTATTCCACAATTTATTTCAGAGTCACCCCAATCTCTGCACACTTCTGTCTCCAAGCCCAGCTTAGCTTTGAGGAGGTCATCCCTCTCTGCCGCTGAGCAGACTATGTTCAGTCTAACTTTGCCTCTAATTGTGCAGTGACCCTTCTCCAAACTCAGGGGAAACTTCAGACTAATCAGATTAGAAAATGTCTCATTCCCATTCTCTTCTCCCTCCAATATGCCCTACCATGATTTGGGTCACATGCTTGGTGTTTTGCATCATCTCGGCAGATTCCTTTCAAAGACTGCCCTAATTCCTAATGGGCCCATCAGCCTGCAGTTTACATTTATATTCTACATTCTTATTGTTCCCCACAGACTGCACAGGGCTTTACAGAGCCTTGATGAGAGTCTCTTTTTGCACAGCCATCCTCATGGCACGCTAAGTCAAAGCTCTCTTTGACGTCTACAGTCTCCCATGGGAGACAGGCATGGAGCTTGTTGATTTAGTTCAATGCACACTGTGCCCATGGGTAGATTTACCTGCTTAGGATGAGGCTGAACAACTGTTAAGCTGTGTAAATTCAGATCACAAAATGAAAACCAATATGACTACAGGACTGCGTGCTGCCTCTTCCCTAGTGATGGTTGTCCAGGCATTTCTCCTTTGGTGGTAAGATGTCTGTTTTATAACTCAGCTAGGTCTTTTCCTCATTAGTGCAACCCAAGCTGCAATGTGGACTTCACAGTCTTTTCACCTGTAGTTGCTTCAGGTCCCAGCAGTTTATTTTGTGAGAGCTGGCATGATATCACCTTAGTCACCACACAAGTTCATGTCACGAATGCACAAAGTACTAGACTTCAGTTCTGTGTATCAGTGGCTGTCTCCCATTAACCAGAGCAGTGACACTTTGTATTGATATCGTAGTAAGGACCCAGGAATACTTTGTGAATTCTTGAGCGTATTAAAAGTTGTATCTTAATTGATGATAGGCATTTTTTTCTCATTTCATAAGTATAAACATGGAGTTATAAGGAGACTCACTGAAAAAGGGTACTTAATGCCAAAGTGAATTTCAAACAGAGTTAGAACAACTCTACATGACACCCTAAACCTTTGTTTCTATCCAAGCTCCAAGAGATAGGACTATGGTCCATTCATCTTTGAGGCCTCCAAGACCATGTGTGTTTGGGACCCATCATACCTGAATCTGAAGTCCCAGTCAGCAACTTCCTAGCTATGTGGTCTTTGTCTATGCAACCTCTGTGAATATATATTTGTATGTGAATGTCCTTCACTCCTAAGCAAGAAATTTTGATTCTTAAACCTCAAAAAAATGGAGAGAAATCTAGGTCATCTCATCCTGTGTTGCTTATAGGAAGACTAGGGAGTAAAAAGGTGGCCTTTTCTCCCATTTGACCTCCTGAATCTAGATGGGGAAATAACTGGTAATTCAAATGCAATTCTTCTCTCAGAGTTGCTGCTTCAAGCTAGTCTTTTATGGCTGCCTTTGAGTTCCATGGAATGCCTTAAAACTGGCCTCCCAAGAGAGCTGGTGCCTCATCCAGAAAGATCAGTTAAAATGGAAAAAGTTAGCAGGGCTTTAAAATCATCTCATTATGTTCTGCCCAGCCCTGCCCCCTGTCAGAAGCACGACTTGGTCTCATGTGATTTTACCCAGCTATACCTAATGGTGAGGCTGAAGGGTGAGCACTGAGCCATGTGGATGTTGCTTCTCAGAGTTTGATGTGCTCACAAAAGTTTCATAGAGAAGCACTTGTTTTCTCTCTGTCTCTCCTTCTACTCCCTTCCTCTGTTCTGCTCCTTTTCTTCATCCTCTCTGTGTCACACATGCATATCCATATAGCCACCCAGAGGCTTTCTGAAATTTCAAATACAAAGTGATTTGTAGTTGAAAGATTTAAAAACTAATCCAAAACCATGCAGAGGGGATCAACAGAGTGTTGATAACCCCTATAGTCCATATTTGACAGCTGTGATCCACCACACCAAGCATCTCTGTGCTGGAGTAAGAACTGCAGTTTAAAGGCCTGGCTGTTTAGAGATATAGCCAATTTCTTACTAGCTACCTGAGTGATGCTGTCTTGCCAACTCTAAATTTAATGTGTCCAACCACAGCAGTGGTTCAGAGCTCCTCTCGTTCCTCAAGCATCTGGCGTCACAGGCTTTTACCAGGTGTTTCTGAGTATACTTTCTGGACTGTCTGGTAATGAACAAAAAACTAAATGCAACTAAGTGCATCAAAATGGAGCTTCACTGTCTTCCCCTCCCTTTGGGACCATTCCCCTAAGCAGAGAAGTGGCCAGTGCAACAGAAGGGAAGCAGGTTCCTCTTGGGCAAAATACAGCCTCCACTAAGCCTTTCACCTCCGGGGGGGGCGGTAAAAATAAAGCAGCTCAGCACTATTCCCTGTGGCAAGGGGGTGGCTGGCTTCTGCAGTTTCTGAGTTATTCATCATTCTTGGGAAAGGGAACATGAACATCAGTCAAATGTCCCATTAGATGCACTTCTAAGAACTCCCACCTAGCAAGGCCTTGGGGAGGCATGTTTGGGGGCCATTATTATTTAGAGAGGAACCAGAGAAATTGCCTTCCCTCCCCCTTCCCCTACAAACATGTCTTTTAGTGTGTGTAGGGAAGGAAATGGTGGATTGCTGGAGTATCAAAGGGAAAAGAAGAATTTATGGAGGCTTTAGGAAAACACTTTAGCAGTATGAGCCGGGACTTGAAAGCAAGGAGACTGACTTTTTAACAAGCATAGAAACACTTAAAAGCCAGAATTAGCTTTGCCCTTTAGGGCAGTCACCCTGGAAGGCTGGGCATTGATTCCAACAATGTTGCCATAGAAAGTTCTTCTTTGGAA